TGTTCTCTGAACCACAGCTATCAACAGTTCATATCCACGACAGTGCGGCCCTGCACACAAGTGTTCTGCCAAGTGCTATTTGGAAAACTAAAAAGAAGATACAAACTACAGCATTTGGGAGCACGTCAAAATTCATAAGGTTTTCCAAGAAATATTTTGGCACTGACGCCTTGAACCTACAGACCTCAGCCAGCTATTTGCGCTGAAATGAACGATATCAAAAGGAACTCTTTTCACCAACATGCATTTTCCTTTTATAAGACCCCTCCAATTTAGTGAGGACACGCTGAGATCTGGTACTGCACAATAAAGCACAAGGGCTCAGTTATTAAAGAACATGGTGCAGCTCTTCAAATTATATTACATAGACAATAAAATCCCTCAAGTGCTGACCAGTGGAAATTCTAGTGAACACACCTAGTCTGAGATCAGGGTCAATCTCAGAAAGTCAGTAATTTCGTGTTCCAAGTAGGTGTTCAAACTACTGTTACTTAAGGAGAAAACCAGATTAAGTCATCCTTCTTAAGACAACTCTAACAGGCACAGTTCCCCATGACAGAAATTATGGCCAACAGTAAACCTACTAAAAAAATAATCTACTTGGTTAACACAGAAAAAAGGTGCAAAATGAAACCAAAAAAGAGATCTTGAATCTAGGCAGCATTATGCCAGTACGAGACAGCACAGAAAACTGTGACTAGTTACATTCCACTGAAAGGACAAAACAAAAGGACATGCAGCTTTCCAAAAACCACAAGCAACAAGATAGCCATACTTGCTACGTTTTCTTCTAAGTTCCTTATCAAGTAGTTCAATGACGTGTTAAAACTCTTCCTATTAACACGTTATTCAAACTAACTTGAAGGTCTGCCAAAACAATGACCATTATGAAAAGCACGGTATAAACACAAATTTCTCTTTTCCGCTGCTTGCTGGAAAGAGTATTTTGCCCAGCACAGTGAAAACCAATTTACTTTTCCAATATATTAATTTCTTAAATCAATAAACCTGATACTTGTTTTCTACTTACCCCTTTCTTCCTTGTAAATTCTATGAGCTATTTTGTCTAGTACGTTTATTTTCTGACTAAATGTTTCTATGTAATCGTTCATTTCTGTAAACGTTTCAGGACGATTTTTAACTCCTCCTCTTACGGAGGATGCTACAGCTCTGACGGTCTGTCCCATCCTGCTCAGCAAACCAGGACCTTGCTTCTTGTGTGAGGAGAGTTCCTACAGACAGAACAAGCCGTGTTTACTTCCATGTACTTCCACAAAAATAATGCATACTTGAAGGCAGGTTTTTTTAAAAACCTTTTTTAAAAAAGGTTTTTTTTAGAATCATAGCATCATAGAATCGTTTAGGTTGGAAAAGCCCTTTAAGATCATCCAGTCCAACCATTAACCTATGCTACCAAGTCCACACTAAACCAATCAAGGGTAGACTAGACTGAACCATGTCCCCAAGTGCCACCTCTGCCCGTTTTTTGAACGCTTCCAGGGATGGGGACTCCACCACCTCTCTGGGCAGCCTGTTCCAATGCTTGACTACCCTCTCCGTGAAGAAATTTTTCCTAATATCCAACCTAAACCTCCCCCGACGCAGCTTGAGCCCATTTCCTCTTGTCCTTGTCCTGTTTCTAAAACAAAACTACATACATAAGCTTCTGCATGTCTTTTTAGTGTATAAATCTTTCTTTAAAACCATTAGACCAGTGTCAGAACCGTACCTGTCGTGTGCATTTATTAGCTAAGCCTTTCTGGGCAAACACACGCATGCCGTGTATCACGCTCTCCCAAGAGTGATTAAAGATGGCAGAGAACCTTTACCCTTTCATTCCTTAGGGTGAGTTAGCTTATTTGCCATTTAGCCTTTTGAACAGGAAAGCAGAGGCAATGATTGCAGAAATACGTCACTGAGAAAAGCAAACAATGTTCCTACTGGAAGAAGTAATCTATCTATTTTTTTGTGACTCTCTTTATAAGTTGCTAGAATAACCTCTGCTAAAGTTCAGAGGCAGGCTTCTCTGAGTAGAAAACTCCAATTTTCAACTGGACTCATCTTGCAAAAATACAACAGGAAATTCAAAGGCTGTATTTTTCTTTTATGAGACTAGTATAACTTTAAAAAAAAAGCAGATGAAAAAGACGGTGCCATGCCAAAACAAGAACTAATTTAAATTACTACTTTTCATATAATCTTGGAAGCTTATCCGTATACCAAAAAGCATGCAGACTTGAAATATTGTGAATTTGCCACAAAAATCCAAAATGCAGAAAAAAACCCTGCTTTGGAAGGTACAGCAATATTTTTGGTCACACGCATGATTACCAAAAGCACAGAAGAAAAGGTTTTCTTGGGAGATGAATATTCCATAAATCCCCTGCCTTCCTCTGACACTTCTGTAACAAGCTGTGGGAGGACACTACTCAACACTGAACTAGGGAGACTCCTGATACACTCTACTAACACAAGACGTGGTTTCCCATAACTGTAAATAAAAATAAAGTCATTTTACCCAGGCTTGTGCAGTAAGAAAAATTTTGAAGTCTTCGTTAAAGGTTAAAGTTGGATGATCAGCAATGCGGTTCAAAAATTTATGTAAAGCTTTTCTTCGAGTCTCAATGAATTCATCACTAAATCGTTCCACCATTCCTTTCATTATGAATTTTTCAGGCAATGGCTAAGGAAAAAAGGAAAAATCTATTGTACAATTTGCATAATATTCAGGGTATTATAATAGTTCTTCTACTTACCAAAAACCCTAAGTACACCTTGTAGAACCCACCACACAAAAACCAAATTGCTATAAAGTTATCACATTCAACAGTGGTATAACATGGTTTTTGTAACACACAGTGCAGAAGAATACGAGTACAACTAAGAAAGAAGGACATAAATTACTGCAAACAGCACAATTACAAATCCCTTTATGGGATTTTTAATTATGACATATGTATAAAGCTAATGAAACTAGGTTGCTTTAACGTTTGTGAGGTTTCAGAAACTGAAGAAAGACCTCAAACATCTCTGTATAAAACTGGAGCCATCTTAAAACCAAATAAAAATAACTTAAGTTTTAGCAAACGAACAGGAATAATCAGTGTCGGATGTGCTTCTTCAAGTTTGCTCTTCAACCAAAGGAAATCCTGATATCGTCTTCGAACTTCATATTCACTGGAGTCAAATTCACCACGAGATGTCTGAAAACCAGAGGCAGAAAAAACAGGCCCAGGTTAGAATACCAGAAAAAAAAAAGAACAAAATAGTTTCAGATTTTGGAGAAAACTGAGCACTTGAAGGGAGTGCATACATGATTCTATTTTGCCCCTGTTATTTGCTTGCTGTTTTTTAAAGTGCAATGATCAGCTACTTGAAGAGATAAAACAACTCCCATTTTAGCAAGAAATCAAAGTTCTACTGTAAAAAAAATAAAAAGAAAAGCAAGCACTGAACTGCACACAGAGTGACTTATAATAATTAGCCTACCACAATGTTTCCAAAAGATTTCAATCATTATTTTAGTCCGGCATTTTGCTTTTAACCTTAACGAACAGTTACGTTTGTTACTTTTTGGGCACTTCTTTTAAAGTGATTAGTAATCTACGAGTGAGGAAAGTCCATTTTTCAGCATTTTGAAAAAAAACCCAAATAGCTGACATACATCCTTGGGACCTGCTGGCACTAGTCAACAATCCCCACATTCAAAACACAAAAACTTCACCATATCATAGCACTAGCACTTCCTGCGCTGCTTAATGGATTCTGCATTCCATCATCAATTCCAGTTTTGTAGCCCTTTGTTAGAACTTGCCAACAAACCTTTAATGCCTAGAAAAAAAGCTTATTACGGTGTTGCAAAATTGTCAGACCATGAGATTTATTTGATTACCGCTCTACCTTCTAGAATCAAGCCACACAGAGCCCATGTTTTCATTAAAGTAATGCGTGCTGTTTAGCATTCACTGTTGCACAGATATTTATAATGCAATGCAAGTAAATTCTAAAAACCTCAAAACACACTTTTGTAATCTAAACATTTTGAGGGTTGAAAAAAGATTTTTCAAGGTATGGGGGAGGAATGCTATTACTTTATCATCAACAACCAGCACTTCATATTAAATACGATAAGAAAGGATAGAATAGATAAAAAAGCAAAAGCAAGCCACCTTACAGCCCTTTCATACTTGCCTGAAGAAAAAATGTTCTCTCGTCTACGAAAACATGCATAAAGTGAAAATTATTGCTGGCAACCTAACGAAGATAGCTCTCTTCCTACTCTTTAAATATTTTATGAGGAGTTGATATCTCCTCTTATTTAAGGATGAATAATTCCCATTTGAAAATTTGGTTTTAAATGAATCTTTTAAAAAGAACTGAAAGTAAAATAAATTAACAGTGCAATTCTCAAAATGCAGCCTGCAGAATACTTGCTGGTAATCCCAAAAGAGCTAGCTAGTCTCACAAGGCTGACTTTCTTCCCTTTTTCCAGTAAATAACTTACATTCAGGACAGCTAAAAATACACTGAGTTGTTTCCCAATATTACTTTTTCATTGGAGAATTGTGGCAGTTTCGCCAGCAATCATATGCAACTGTAAATGGGAAACAAATGTCCATGTGATAGTGGACGCTGTAATTACAAAAGAATGGAATTGAAAGACTTTGTAGCAGGGAACATTTACGCAAGACAAAAGACTGCTAGCCTGCAAGCGATCCAAAAGTCATAAATACTTGGGCTAATGTAGTGTCTTTGAACTGAATCAGTCTTTCTGCTGTTTCCTATTCCTGCGGAAGATCACAACAGAAAATGTTATTCTCATACAGAACTGATTTGGCTGTTGAAGAATTATTAGCTATTTTCTCAGCATAAAAAACCTAAGCACCTATGTGTGTAGATTTATACTGAATTTTTTTTCGGAATGTACTGCACAGTTTCATACAGTTTCAGTGGTCTATAACTCATGGCAAAATCAGAGTATAATTTAAATTTAGTAATATCCCAGAGAATGGCATGCCAGAAAGTGAAAACGCTGATATTGTTATCAGTGTAAGCCATTATAGCCACGAGTAGATGCTTACCTTTGTGACTACTCTGTATGTAATAAATGTTTCAATGGCTGTAATGTGGCTTTCAGGATCATCGACTGTAATGAAGAGATCTCTTAATTCCGGTTCATCTTCAAATTTATACTGGTTTATCATTGATGAGGGGGATATTGGCATGGAAGGACTGAATGAGTTTACCTCAGCCAGCGATGTATCCTACGGATAAGACATGAGAACACGCATATCAATACATCTCTATATACAAACGCACACATGCAAACACGTATGTCTCGGATGCTAAAATGGCAAGCTTTTAAATAGTCCGGTAAAACAGATAAAACATAGAGCATAACATAAAACATAAAACAATGAAAGAATTATATAGTACATGGCGAATCTATTATCCTTTTCAGTATTTGCTTCAGTGAGGACATAAGAAATAAGAATGAGATTTATTGTAAAACAGATGAAAGAGCAAAATGCTACCCTTTGACAGGAATGTTCTGCATAGCTAGAAAGAGAACTTGCCTAAGAATGCGAACATGAGTTATGAATCCAAGCACCCAGTAACCGTGTAGGATACTTACCAGCTTTATTAAAATTGTTAGAAGCCAGTTACTCAGGACTTAGGAAGTTTGAATTATCTCTAATAACCTGAACAGGGTGGATAAAAACCAATGCTTTTAAAAGAAAACAAGACAAAATCCAAATGAGAATTTTTATTGGAATTGGGCATTTCAGTTTGCATACATTTTAGAATAAAGTTTGAAATGGAAAACTTTTACAGAGACACAAATTTAATCTTTTTAAAAAAAGAAAAAACGTAAGGAAGGACGCAGTACAAATTGTTGCTTGATTTCTAAAAAAAGTCAAACCACTGTTTGGCTGAAGTGGAAAACCACTTTTTGATGGTATCAACCACTTCCACCACAGCTCTCTAAGAATACATCCCCATAGCAGCTGCTTCTGCTCAGCGCGTTCCATGGTCATCACTCAAATGCTGAGAAACTCAGTGGAAATTAGAAACAGTAAAAAAAATATAATTTTCTTTCTTAGATGCAAGCCTGGATGAGATCTACTAACCTAAAATCTTGAAGGATAGAGTGACTAAGAGAATAAATTCACTAACACCATGAAGGAGCATGATAAATTAATAAATCACTAAAAATAATAAATTTGGGCAATTAAAATCAATCACTATGTTTTAAATATCAAACATTTCATACACTTCTTCTAATATAGCCAACGCAATGAAGTATTTTTATAACAAACTTGAAAATCAATCTGTTTTCTAGCAGTTTTCTGAAAGTGTAGTTAGGCTACACTGAGTACCAAGCGGCAGAGAGCTGCCCTTGCCGGTGCCTCACTAACTACGGAGCAAGGAGAAAAGGGATGTTGCTAAAAAGAAGCCTGCTCCGATGGCAGGAGTCCACAGAACCTAGAGACACAGCATCATGGCAAGGGCGATCTCGCAGGAGCGAAGAGCACACCGCCGCAGTGCTGCTGCGAGTTCCTTTTTTTCCTTTGAATTCAACTGGATCAAAACTTTCTCCGGATGATGTTCTCCTCTCTTGTTCTTTTCCTGCCCTAAACCTCCTTGCCTACCTCCATCCCTCTCCTTCGGATTTACCAGCGTACTCCCACAAATAGGGAGCAGACATTTATATTGAGAATTACGCACGGAAAGCACCGACGTACCCGTTCTCCTCCCATCACTTAGAATCATAGAATCATAGAATCGTTTGGGTTGGAAAAGACCTTTAAGATCATCCAGTCCAACCATCCAGTCCAACTTAGGTACAGTTCTTTGAACAGGGAGACAAAAGCAGGGAGGAAGACTTACAGAGCTGCTTACTCGTACACCTGTAAGTCATTTTATTTCTACTCAGCGTGTTCCTACGCGTGATTGCTACACCGGTATGCAGCCAGCACTGTCCCGAGCGGTGGGGAATTAATAGAGAAGCTGTTTTCGCTGCCCGCTAGCACGAGCTGGCCACGCTCGCCATGAAGAATGAGGACCGCTAGTTCAGAACAGCCCATGTGATTCAAAGTGCTGAGACACGGGAAATTTCCAGGGAAAGAAAAATGCATGTGAGCCTGTAAGGGACTTGAACGGCCGTCTAACTTGAGGAATAATGACTCTGCAAGGCCTGAATAGGATCAAGGCAAATGCGTTTCATATTTTCTCATTTTCCGTGGGTCATTAATACCTCCATGTTTCGTTCCTCCTTCTAGGTCGCTACTAAAAATTCCTCTATACAGGCAGGTTTCTGAAAGTGTATTTTTATATGGAAGGGTTTATGAATATATGGTTTGTGAAACAAAACATGGGCAATAAAAATCCATAGAATAAGAAGGTCTTCAGTTCTGTTGTAATACAGGGCGAGTGTTCATCTGCACATGAATGAATGCACATGAGCTTTAAACAAGCCTCCGTTTCTCTTTAGCCTCATGATACTTCAGGTTTACTTCCAGCAGCTCTTGAACTTCACGTGACGCAAGTCTGATGTCATCCCAGAAATGTGGTAAAAAAAGATGATAATTTTCTATTTTCTATAAAGCTGTAATTTTGTGGTTGGAACTATGTTTTTGTGGGCATACAGTTGAGGGCAGAAGGAGTTTCGTGGCACAGGAAAAACAGACAATTGTTCTAGCTCTTGGGTTGTATAAGTTTTTTTTTAAAAAAAACACCAACTTTTTTCCTCTTCACCCATGCAAAGAGAATCAAGGTCCTGTCCCAGGGAACAATGTGCTTTCCCACACTGACCCCAGCCTACCTGCAGTACCCCTTCTCCCTCCCAAACCCTTCCACTACTGACAGCAGTCAGCAGAATTGTGCGTGCCCATCGGCACGCAACATTTTGATTTACTGGCCAGGAGACCAAAAAAGTAGAAAATCAACGAGCTCCTGGCAGCATAAGGGCCTTGTTCTGGGTCTCCTTCCTCTAATACTTGCACTTACCCTATCTCACTCTCACATTTGGCTGCAATGGGTCAGTAAGACTCCAAAATAAATAAGGGAAGGAAAACACTCATAGAGCAGGAGCAGCCTCCAAGTAGGCTGAGCGCACAGCTGAGCCTGCAGCTCTCTACAAAACATTAAGCCCGGGGGTTTGCCTAAACACCGCTCCTCCCCAGAGCACAGATCCTCCACTCAGGCTTGCCCCCATGCCTCCTGTCCCAGCGAGGATCCGGAGCGTGCAATCTTCCGAGGCCAGGGATCCAAAGCAGGTCTGGAGATAAAGGACGTGGTGGCAGAGTTTGTCTTATGAGAGAATAGCTTAGTTGTTGGGGCATTCTTCAAAGAAGCAAAGAGATTCAGGAAGGCAGAATAGTTCCTTGCCCGAAACATTCACTTATAAATCAGTCTCAAATCCTCGATCAACTTGGTTTAGAAGAAATATTAGCCTCTCTGCAATTCTGAAGCAGCAGGTACATTTTTTTCCAGAAATACCAATTAAGTTTTCCATAATTACGAAACGGAGACAAACACTGTAAAACAGAGTTTGAAAGAAGAGCTGCTAAAGACTTTAAGCATTAACCGAAGTGCTGACAGCTTTGTCAGTGCTAGGTCACCGTATCAGTTAACACGGAAGGCAAAGATTAACTGAATGGGTATTGCGATACATGTGGTACTCTATGCTTTGAAACTAATGGAAGAAAGCAGGTTGAAAACATTGCATTTGTGTGACTCATAACTCAGCTCCCAGAAGTTGTCTCTGCTAAAAGGACCTCCGAACTTTTTCCATGGTAACGGAAACTAGGATAAAGTGAAATGCAGGTCGCATCATGAAATGCTTTATCAGAGTTGCCGAAGAACGTGCTAGTCTGTAATATTTGAGACACGTCACAGGATACTGGGTCAATGGTTTATGACACTATCAGGTTAAATGTCTATGAATTTTCATAAAATAAAAGCCCTGTGTTTACATCTTGAGTAATAACTTACGGTATTGAGGTTGACAATTTTTAAGAATCTCATTTTTCACCATTTTGGCAGCCGGTAGCTTTCAGTGACTGAACTGAGAAAAATGAAGTCGATGTCAGTGTCAGGCACCGAGCACCGCAGTGCCGCTGCTCTCCTGCTTGGTCTGCAAATGCTACACCACTACCTTAAAGACAGCGGCGTAGGAAACCCCGTTAAGATACAATTTCAAACAAGGCGGTCATGGAACAGTACGTTATGGAAAAGTCGGTTTTACAAAACTTAGTCTGAAGCTACATTTAGCCTGCCAGTTTCCCTTGAGTATATGGAACACGAACAAACGGAATGTAATCCCCAGCCAACCTCACCGCTTTTCATCAGCTCAAAAGATCAGCCCTCAGATTGCACCTGAAAGCAAACTGTGAATTTCTGGTCTATGTATAACCACTAAATGCAGGTGTCCAAGCTTTGGAAAGTACATTCTATTTTCATATAGTATGACAAATTTTCTTGTTTGCAGGAATAAGTTATCATGGGGCACGCATTAATAGTAGTTAAGATTTAATATAAGAAAGAAATATGTGGCATGAATCCAGGCAGCAGAAATTTAAAGACATAGATATTTGCCATATAGCAGCAGTAACTCGTATCAGCTACGCTTGTTTTTATTTTTTATTCCCAAGGGGCATCGTTCTTGACAAGCAAGCAGCGTAACTGCTGATAACGCTGTATTGATAGGCAGATACCTGCATGCAGAACTGCCTAGGCTTACCTAGTAAAAGCAAAAGGATTCAAAGTAAGAAACAAACAAAATTACGTTTTAGCACTGCTTTTACATGCAAGTTCAATGCAGCATTCATCTCTTTATGTCAAATCAAGACCGGTGCTTTTCTAGGAAATATAATTTAGCTAGACCCTAGTTATGCTTCAGAAAAACACAGATAACTTGGTGAAACTTAGCCCGACCTCTCGCATGTTACAGACCATTAAATCACCTAATAGTCCCTGCTGGCCTCAAAATCTGTGAATTTCAAGAATTTTACTGCAGTCAAAGTTTAAATACACCGCTCCCAAGAATGCAACTCTTATTCCAATGTCTTATTCATGCATACCAAAAAATGCATCTCGTTTACAGAAACAGAAAAAAAATACACGTTTAATTCATAT